AACCCTCAACCCACGAGATCAACACAAAAATCACACACCAATTTTTGCTCCATCACTCATTGAAGTGATTAAAGATTTCAAATCCTACAATCCTACCAAAGGTTCCAAGGATGCCTCCAAAACGAACCTAGAAAGGGAAAGAAAAAGTTGGCTCATCTTCCGGAACGGCCCGTACTCGAGTTCTTTAAGGGGGGATACAAAGATTTCTGAGCCAGATTATTGTAATACCCCGAAAATTTTAGAATAAAATACTGTAACGCCCCAAATTTTATAAACGCTAGAGTGTTACGAAAAACTCAATTTCCTTTATAATAATTGAGGAACGATTTATCAATAAAGAAAATTCCTTATTTTCAACCATAAATATCAATTTAAAATAAAGAAACGAGTATTTGAACAAATAAAACTAACAAATAATTTAGAGACATAAAAAAATAACAAATTAAATGTTAAATTTCTTTTTCCTTTCTTCAATTCATTTTGCAGTCTGCATCACCATCCCGCCACAATTCCAATCAACCGAAACTAATCTGTAAAAATTTGTAAGAGTGAGTATTTAAAAACACCCAGTAAGATACGTGCAGTTTCCATATACAGATATATATAACAATAAAATTTACATTTCATACCGCTTTACTTTTATGGAGTATATCGATGACCAAACGAAACACCCATCTTAGGTCCTCTTATATCTCGTAGGATTTCATTTCTCTTTTTATAGAACTCGAAGGTCCACTCGCAATCCATGCATATTTAATTGCAAATAAAACCATATAGAAACGAAAGCAACTTGCACATATGTATCTTACCTCGTTTATTTAAGAGTTGCAACAATGGTTTCTGGTCTTTTAGTTCCCAAAAGTATCCTCTCTCTCTTTTTCTCTCTTACGTGTGTATAACTTGAGTTATACTAGAAAACCCGTGCCTTATCGGATAAAACATAGTTTAGGTATTTGGATTATATTTTAATAATAAATTCATAGTTATCAAAATAGGATACTAGCTATCACATTAAATTAAAAATAGGTTAATATTAAACTAAAATAATATTAACATTCAATACTCACCCACATGTTTTTGGAGAGAGAAAATGAATTGAATTATAGTTTAAATAAAGTTCTATTTATCTTTTTTTATTTCAATTGAGTCTAACGTAATGTGTTCTTATCGAAAATAACTTTTTCTCGAATTAAAGACTTCTAATTAATTACGAGTTATGAAATGAGTCCAATATCGATATACTAAATCTTGCTCTAACAATATCTAATTATTTGGATCAAATAAGATAGGAATTTAAAACATTTTTTTATTTTAGTCCTCAACTTAAAAAAATGTAAATATATAATATATAAAATAAATAAATTTTAGTCTAAAATTTTCGAGGCATTACACAATTCCTCTACTAGAAACACAGTTGTCGACTCTATATACAGGGAGAAAATGAATTCCAGTTTTATTTCTCTTGCCAATTGATCACTCAAATCCTATAACAACAGATCACCTCTTTTCTTTCTCTTTCAACCGAGTCACTGTTTCTCCTCTATCCCATCCCACAACCTCGACCCTGTTGCCAAATTTTAGAAATACCTTCCAACCTTCGATGGTTTGCGCCAACGGCTCACAACTGAATCACCAATTTCAGTCGACTTACTATTCTCCAATACGAAACCACTACTTTGTTAAAGTTGGCACCAACAAGAAGCTCCTGCCCAAACCCAAATGGATGAGGGAATCAATCCCCAAGGGTGGAAAATACACGTAGATAAAGAAAAAAAATTAGGGAATTAAAATAGCACTTTGTTTGCGAAGAAGCCAAAGTATCCTAATTTGGGTGAATGTTGGTTTGATAGCGAAACATGTACTGCCACTGCCACCATTATGATTATGGGTGATACATGCACCCGCGATTGCGTGCAAAATGATTTGTCTTGAAAAATATTTTTGTATTGTTAAGGGAGATGGTGGCCGACGACGACGGTGGCAACTTTAGATTATGGTTTGATTGGATGTTGGGGATGGTTCGGTGAGAAAGATGAAGATGGGTGTGGGTGGGAGGATAGGAATGGATGGGTGGGGGTAGATTTTTTTAGTTTAATTGTTAATAATATTAGAAAAATATTATTCTTACAATTACTATTTTACCTCCATCAATTTGGTCAAAATTGGTCAATGTCCAATTCTTCAGTAGCACAAACTGAAAATCAAGGTAAAATCTGCAAAAAAGTCTTGGAGCTTTCAATTTTCCCTAAATATGAGAGTTATTCTACTCAAATAGGGCCTTTCCCATGTTAGTGTAGAATGGTTCAAAAAATTATTACTTTGAATAATTTATTTAATGATACAAACATGATGAGTTAAATGTTTCATTAGCCATCAAACTTTGCATTTCGCCACGGCTTACTCTCTCGACTCCAATAATTGTTTCAATGGCCAATGTTGCTTTCCATCACTCATTTGATGAATTCCATTTTTGACTCTATCTAGGTGGCAGACGGTCAATTTACGTGGATCGTTAAATCATTTCAAATGATAAGACAGTTCCACGTCAGCAAATGACTCTTCCAAACACGCCCTTGTCAATTTAATCTGGAATTTATACACGACTTCTTTCTTATAGTTGAAAGGAACTTCAGTTGAAGATGAAATCTGTTTATGTGAATTGAAATCGAAATCCCCCAAAATCCTGACCTAAACACTAAGGTGGGGTCATCGATGTTGTCCCAAAATTTCAACCTGACCAGGATCGTAGGAAGAGTTTGTGACGAAACACAAGGAAGAAGACGATACAAATTTTGCTATTTTGGTAAGTGGATTTGAAATTTTACCATAAGTTTTACCAAGGAAGAAGACGAAACCATGTACAGACAAATTCTCAAAAATATATACAATTTGAAAATCTAGTTCACAATGTATTTGGCGAAATCTAGCTACTAGAGAACAAGTTTTTTCAAATGCGGTTTTTTCATCCATGATAATTAGGAAAAAAAAGTGATTTTTCGAAGTTTTTTAGGTATGATTGCGAGTGATTGAGTTACCAATTTGTTACTTTTTTCATTTTTTTGGGGTTATCTTTGAATTGATAAATATGGCTTGGAGTAATCAGTTAAAGGAGGCAGTGAGTTCAAAGCCACTGTTCGTGACAGACTGACGGTATGCGCCACCGTGATAATTGGAATATTGGTTTCATCTTGTTATGTATTTTCCTCAGTTTTTTCGAGTTTCGGCTCCTTCTCTTCTCAATGGACGTCCACTTCTGCTATACTTGGATCTATTTTTCTTTAGAAATATATGAGGAAGAAGTCGTGTTTGAATTTCGAATTAAATTGAGAAGGGCGTGTTTGGAAGAGTCATTTGCTAAAGTGAAGGAGACATGGCAATTGACTCATCATTTGGAGTGATTTAGTGGTCCATGTAGATTTATCGTCTATCACCTAGATAGAGTCAAAGATGGAATTCATCCCGAAAGCAACAAATTTAAGCTCCATTATTTGTAGATTATAATGAGATGAATAGTATTTTTTTTTGAAAAATGAGTGGTTGAAAATTTTTTAATTTACATGTAATATCATTTTATTGAAAATTGTGTGGTTAAAAGTAGAAAAGAGAAAAATTTAATTTAATGTAATGAGAAATAATGGTGTTCAAATGGGGGCTAAGTTTAGTGGCCACTGAGACAATCTTTAAAATTGAGTGAGGAAATCGTGATGAAGTGAAAAGTTCAGTGAGCGATGAAATATTTAACTCAAACACGATTAATCTGAACAATGGAGATGTGAAAAACGTAACAGAATTTAACCAGCAAAAATAGTGCGTGTAAGAGAGAGATTTACAGAAAAAACATCATCCAGAGGATCTCTCTCTTTCACCCACCTTTCGCCGATCAGATCGGACCACTATTCTTCTATTTTCCTCAAAAATTCAAATTTTTGATTCTTGACCGTTTGATTCGTGGAACAAAATTTCATTCGCTTTCATTTCTAGCATAATTTATATACACATATAGATACAGATCGATACTTTACATTTGAATATATATCTTGAAATTGATATTTGTTGCTCTGATTATTTGCGGGGAATTCTTTATTAAGGGCTAAGAATTTTGCTGTGAGGAGAGTTTCGAATGGCATCGGCGCAGGTGTTGAAAAAGCAAGAACATTTGGAAGCTGGCAGAAAAAAGGTATTCAATTATATATATATATATTATTTTTTCAATTCGGTTGCATTCTTCTAATAATTTTAGATTTCCTTATTGAGCTACATCAAAAGCTCTTTTAGAATCACCCAAACCTTTAATCTGATAGCAAAGACCTTTTTCTTTTAGCTAGAAAAAAGGGACTTGTCTGGATGGCCGGGATGGATTTAGGACCATATTTTTCTGTGTTTACAGAGAGCTGGGGAGAGCGGGTGATGTTTACATATACATACACATACGAGGGAGGAATGGGAGGAATATATAATTACACCTTACATAATAAAATTCATTGATTTCTACCACGGGACCTTGATGTTGATAAATGCCTTGAACTGCAAATGATATCACTATGCATTGCTAACACTCTTTCTTTTTAACACTTGCCATTGCTAGTTTATTAACAATAGAAATGTACCGTAACCTCATAGACCCTTTCATGTTATTTGTGGAAATTGTAAGCTAGTTTTAGGTCCTCTCAACATTGCAGCAACTCAGGGATGCTCACAACATGCTATACTGCGGAAGTGGGCAAGATACAGTTCTTAAGGATTTTCTTCAAAATATTTTCTAATTTACCAAATTTTGGAGCAGATAACAGTTACCCTTGCTGTCGACTTTCGCTGAAAGGCTATGAAATTGTCAGGTGCCGTGTTGGTGGAAATATTTTTAAGGTCGCTTACAACAACAGAGGTTTTTAAATGGTTTGTTAGATCAATGTATATAGTATAATGAAATTGCTGCAGAAGGATTTTATCGAACTACAATGTTAGAAAGATAACAAGTGTAGCATATTTGTTAGATGCAAGGATTAATTCAAAAATTTGTAGTTGTTGCCAAAAGATGTTGGACCAAGTGTGCAAGGAGAAGTCACAAATGTAACATTATGTATGTTTTTCATTCACGAAGTGCAAGTGATAGGCTTTGTGAAACATTTAGTGCTTGTTGAATTACAGTGCTAGGAAAAATAGCAATTGTAGCATGCACGTTAGGTGCAAGGATATGTGAGCCCATCTAAATAAAAATCCTAGGCGGTGTTTGCCGAAGGATGTGATTGTGGCGAATATGCCAAGAGAAGTCACAAGTGTTAAGTGTTATGCCTATGCTGCATTTTGTATGAGCTCCAAGCGATGGGCTTTGCGAACCACTCAGTATCCAACACTAGGAAGCATAACATGTGTAGCATATATGTTTGGTGCAAAGATTTTTGAACCCATCTAAGAAAACATTAGGTTGATGCTAAAGGATATTATTAGTACACTAAGAAAAGAACATGTGTAGTATTATGGCATAGGCACATTTTTTATATGAAGTGTTGTATGATAAGCCTTGTTAGCCATTTTTGTGGCATTTAGTATTTACTTGAAGTCTGAAACTTGTACTTCCTACCTTTTCTCCATTTTCTTTATTCATCACCTCCTAAAAGGTAATCAGATCAGATAAATTATCTACATACCAGATCGACGTTTGAGTAATAAAAATCACTTCACCCACATCAAATCAAAATTGGTATGATCATACTGTGATTTGACATAGCGAATTGGAATTCGTAACATAGGGATCAAAATCTAAATCACGTTTTGATATGCTTGCTGCCTTAATCCATTATGAGGCAAAATGTTTCATTGGAATCCTTTTCTTTTTTAAATAGTAAAAGTAACCTTTAATGTGAAGATTGGTAGGTACTGTCTTTATTTTGTCAACAATTTAGATTATAGACATCATTATCTAGAAAATTTAATTCTCATCTAGTAAGGTAATATAAAAACCGTATTCACGGTGTACACCATCTTTTGCTAGGTAGATATTATACATTTTAATTATTTGTTCACTGAGTAATACTGAATTGCTCTTTTTCCATATGCATGAATTTGGTAGTTCATTTTGGATTATTAGAAGTGGTTTTGGGAATGCAAGTTCAAGGTTGGAATACACAGACAAAAATGTTTTAAAACAGGATGGAGAGAGGAGAGAAATATTGTTTCTACATATATTAATTGACTACGGGATGTAGAAAAGAAAAAGTATTGTTTCTATAAATCATAATTGACAGTTAATTTCAATTAAAGAAATTTTTAATGTGGTGGTTCTTTAAGGATCTTGTTGCCATTGTTAAGAGCGTGCTTGGCTATGCCTAAAAGAAGTTAATTGCTTTGCCCAATTGTTTGCAGCTCTAAAAGTTAAAAAGTAATTTTCTTTCCGATTTTGGCTTTGCTTTAAAAGTTATCTTTTCTAGTGCTTTTTAAAAGGCTCTTACCAGCTTCTTTTTTAGGCTTTGCAAAATATGCTGTAAATGGGAAAAAGAATTGAATTTCTAAGTTTGGGAAAAAACCATAAATTTTGCTGAAGGATGTTGTTTGGAAGAGTGTGCCTAGAGAACTAAGAGAAGTCACAAATGTTATGTTATGTCTGAGGTCCATTTTGTATTCAGTGCAAAGTGATAGGTAGAGATTGTGAATTTAAATTTTTGTGCTCTGACTATTTCCAAATTACCCTTATGTTTCATGCAATTGAATTTGGTAGTTTACATCAATAGTTAGGAACAGTTTTTGGTATTCAAGTTCAAGGTTGGAATATTTGACCGTGTCAATTTTCCTTTCTATGACTAATATTTTCCTGATTTTTCCTTTCATTAGCCGAACTTTGTTTCTCCTGGAAAATGACCTATTATCTATGTTGGTTTACTTCTTTAGTGATTTAATGAATACCATTTCCTTGCATTGTTATCACATTCAGTGCACATTTGTACTTTTTTATATCATCATTGTCAATGATGACAATGATGATGATTATGACTATTACTACTACTACCACCACCACCAACATCATCATCATCCTCATCATTCTTGGTATTGGATTTTAATTCTTTTCCTTGCAGCTCGAGGAGTTTCGCAGAAAGAAAGCAGCAGAGAAGGCTAAGAAAATTACAAGCGCGAGTCAACATGATGTTTCTAATGGTGTCTTAAATGAGAAGCAACCTTCGGAAACAGAATTTTTCCGGCCTACAGATTTTAGTGGAGCCGGTATTTCTGATGCAGCTGGTGCAGGTGGTTTGGGATCGTTGGCAATCGTTGCAAAGAATGAGACCAAGGAATCTGATATCGTCCAGAAAAGCGGGTTTAGTTCTTCTAATGATACACTTGCCAATTCTTCTTTTTTGGCGAACAATGATGTCAACTTGCCCATTCTAGCACAGTCTAATTTACATGGTACAGAGTTTAAGGGTGATACTTCTCACCACTCTACTTATTATGAGGTAGACAAACAGTCAAATACCAGTGAAGGTCATAAGAAGGCTCTTTCACTTGGTAATTCTGGTACATCTGTTGTTTTAGAAACAGATCTTTTTCCTGAAAATTCAATCAGTACTTTCCTGCAAGACAAGTTGGGTTATGATGACCGTGTGGCTAGCAACACGACATCATCATCTTACCAAGGTAATATTGTTATTTAGATCGATATATCCATTTTTTTTCCATATCCCCCTTTTGCTAGTAATTTGTCGGTTGGTTTTGGTCTCATGCTCTTACTATCATGTCATAAATTCTGCTACAGATGTTAGAAACTCTACCTTTGGAGTTGGGCAAAAGTTTCCCTTCATGGGAGAAAACAAGTTTAGCGACCCTGTTGCTATCGGGGGTAGCACAAACAATGTATCTACATGGCCCAAAAGCAATGGATATGCTGGTTTTAGTTCTGATGCCCAGATCTCATCTAATCATGCACTACCATCTCCACCTGCGACTGGGAGGAGATCCCGTCCATCTTTCCTTGATTCCATCAACATCTCAAGAGGTCCTTCAGCATCCCCTCCCCTCATTGTAGAGGCAAAAACTGACTCATTTAGTTCAAAGGTTTATCCTGTGGGCTCTTTAGGATCATCTGTTCCTCAGGACACTGCTAATTCTTTCGTTGCTTCTAGTAATGGGGTTGACCTGTTCAATCATGTCATGGAAAATAGCATGGAGAACAAACATGATCTATATTCACGGAAACAGAATGAAGACTTCGCTGCTTTGGAACAGGTTTTTTATTGCTATTTTCTGTTGCCCTAATTTTTCTGGTATTTTTACCGTCAGCAATGCTCCCATTCAGCTGTAATTTGGTAATGGAGTAAATGCTGTAGATTTTTCTTTAGTTCTTTGGTTTATAATGAAGATGAAGTTGTTGAGTATTTCTTAACAAGGTTCCATAAGTCGTGATTTTTTTTTTTGTTGTTGGAAATTATTGCAAATAATAACATAATCCTGGTGTTTACTATTAACTACTGTTCTAGAATTTGTATGTTTGACGAGATTGTTGTTTGGTAAAAGGAGGAGATGAATAATGTGTCCGATGATATAGAATACGAGAATTTTAGGCTTATCAATTTTGAATCCTTTTACTGGGATGGCATTTTAGCGTATTAATTAGCCTAGGAAATGTATAAGAACTCTGTATGCTGCCTTTTGAATGGCTGAAGTCCAATTCATGGTATCTAGTAGCATGACTGGGCTGATTTTAATTTCAAAATTGAAGATTGGAGTCCCGATGTTCAGTTTCTTGCAACTTTATTCATCAATAAGATATTCAGAGTCCCACAACTTTAAATCTTTTGTGATCATATGTTTCTGTACTAAGATATCAGAATCTCTGAAATGATTTTAGGGACATAATGTTTTGATGATTGATCATCCTGTCAAAAATATTTTAGCTCCTCTTGGGAGGGTGATGATCTGATAAACCTTTTTTTGTTAAGATGTCTTGCTAACAATGGCAAGAAGTGCTTGATGCACTTGGATCAAAATATCTAAGTACTATATATGAAAGTTGTTAACCCAGTGTCCTTTGTGATAAGTTGGATGCATGATATGCATGATGCTAAAACTATCTTAGTAGAAGTTCTCTGTCTTTTCTGTTCAGTCATAGATGGACCCAAATCACTCGAAATAGTTCATGTGTTATAGTTTCCAATCCTAAGCATTGTGCCCATTTTGTTATACATGAACTGCTACTCTAGACTATAAGGTCATATATCCGAAAAAACCAAGCATTAGTTTGTATGGTTTTTTGTGATGCCATGAAATTGTATTAAGATGTGATTCATGTACTGGAACATTTCATTTCCATTTAACATTGGGTGAGTGTGGACAACAACTGCTCCGAGCTTTATTTACCCAAATTATGCTGGAATAAAAATTATTAATTGTTACTTGAAATTGAGTATTTTCAGGTGGATTTAGGTGTGAATTCTTGTAGCAGGGTTTTGAAAAGTGGTGAAGTGCTTTTAAGATAGTCCTTGAAAATGATTTCCTCTGTTGTTTTTTTTTTTGGCAGCACATTGAAGATTTAACACAAGATAAATTTTCCTTGCAACGAGCTCTGGAAGCTTCACGAACTTTAGCAGAGTCCTTGGCTGCTGAAAATTCGACTCTGACGGATAGCTATAATCAGCAGGTTTTGTTAATGCTAACACATGTTCATAACTGTCATGGTTTCTGAACTTTAAAATGATGGACATAATCATCAAATGATAGTAGCAATTTTATATCTTGGAATTTTTTGGACAGCACTGATGTCAAATCCTTGATATTGTTGTTTTGGGGCTGTTTTATAAACCCGAGTTTTTTCAATATTACATTTGAGAACAGGTGGAATGATAATATTGAAGTCTAAGAGGCACATTGCCGATGTCAATTAGCTAGTTCTTTTGTGTTCTTTTTGGTTATGTTGAGAACTGGCTGATTACTAATATTTTATATGTAAGCATTTTTCTTTATTTTGATGCACTTCGACTTGGTTTTTATAGTTCATTTCATTTTCATCAGGGAAGCATTGTCAACCAGCTAAAGTTTGACCTGGAAAATTTACAGGCAGAAATCAAAGCTCAACTGGTTAGCGTTTTTGCAATTAGACCTGCTACTATAAGCGCTTTTTCTTGCTTAATTTGGTCTTTGTTTATTATTTCATAATTCATTGCCATACTCTTTCCACATGCATATTATGATACTATGAATTTCTTTGTCACGGGCTGAAAGGAAAAAAAAAAGATTTTCTTGTCCACTGAAGCATACTGATCTTTTTATGGAGAATTAAATTGATGAAGTTTGTGCAATCTACTATGATGTAATTTGCTTTGATGCGCTGCCAAAAAGTTCTTACAACAGTTCAGCCGAACATGGCTGGCAACATCCCTACCCTCCCCCTGGGTAAAAATGCTAGATGTTCTGCCTTGCATATAGATGGCTGCATGGTTAAATAGTGTTTTCAGTACTTATTTTCTTTAGTTATTTCAGTATAGTCCAGTTGTTTGCTTTCTGTTTAGATGAGTTGGAGACCTGATTTAACACAGTATTTCATACTATCTGCAGACGGAACTTGAAGCTGTGAAAATCGAATACACTAATGCCCAGCTCGAATGTAATGCGGCTGATGAACGCGCAAAGCTGTTGGCTTCTGAAGTTATTGGTTTGGAAGAGAAGGTAATTAATAATCTAATTATATTTAGCTGAGTTGTTATCAGTGGTAGCAAATTGTACTGGGGAGAATGCTGACAGTTGGTTCATTGATGTAACTACCTCAGTCCAACTGAGAAGGTTGCAGGGGCAGACCATAAACTAAATTGAGATCATCTGCCTTTCAAGTTATACGGTCAGAGGTTTAGACATTATGTGTGTATGTTTCTGTGTGTGTTAAGTACGTATATCTTTGTCATGGTTTGTATATCTAAACTTTTGGTACTCAAGGGATACTGTGCCACTTCATGTGGCTTGTCCTATTTATTTTTAATATTTATTCAGTTCCTAACATGGGAGTGACACCATCACAATATGTCAAGCCCCATTTTGTAAATTTTGGAATATAAAATGAGGGAAACACTAATTGATTATTATTATTATTATTTTTTTTTTTTAGAGTCAAAATAATGCGAGAAAAATTGAATAACTTTGGTTGAGAGTTAAAATAATGTGAGAAAAATTGAATAACTTCATGTCAAGTTCGCTTTATATTTACTAAATGCACTTTTTTGATACATGAATATCTTTACTTTCAGATGCATAACTACATGGACTTTTACTCATTCATTCAAAACTAAGCAAGCATCATAATTTGCATAAGTTGCATGAAATTTCAACTGAATGATGATATTACTGGAGTGTCATCTTTCTTTCAGCCTGACCTCCCATTAGTTAGCTGATGACTGATTGCTGATGTCTGATGCACTTTGAATGTGCACTTCCCTTTGTGGTGGGATGATGGGCTTCCTGCAAGCCTACTTTCGGAGCAGACAAGTAGTGGCATTTTAGAAAAACATGCTATGTACATAAAAATATCATTGCATCCTGGTCACACAAACATGTATGTAAATGACTGGTATCACTAGTTGCGACTGAGGAAATAGTTATTTTGTGATGCATCTGAATTCATAAGATTTAATTTTACATAGAAGATTAGGATCAGTATTGGACTTTAATCTATATACTTGCTGTACACTACTTTGATGGAGGTAGAGCTGAGTTGCAACTTACACCCAGAAAGCAGACCTTGTATGTTTCTTTTTTTTTTTTTTTTTTTTTAACTCAACTTTTCCTCTCCTTTGGGCTTCTTTCCTTTCCCAACATCATCACCTTGGGAATGGGATACATTTCAATTGCTACTAACAGGAGGAAAATGTCTAGTCTTGAGAAAGATCGCCAAGATCTGCAGTCAACCATTGATGCTTTACAAGAAGGTAAATGTTCATTATGGTCACACAACATTGTTTCATTTACAATGAATTTTATCTGAGAACTTATCTTGGAGACGAATATGAAGATAATTAGGGAAGTTCTACGAACTTCTCGCATGAAAATCCTATAAACAGTTATTTGTTAAAACTCCAGATACCAATTGATTCCCTGTAGACCATATCGAAAACTATTAATGAGGGATTTTGGAAAATCTCTTTCCATGTTCAAAGCCAAAAGTATCTCAAAAGCTGAAATCCAGTTAAATAGTTATTTAATGTACTAGCTACTTGTCCAAAGAGAGAAAGTAGGTGATGCCGACTGTGATGACGACCAATAGAGAGAAAGAAGAAAGTAGGAAGAAATGAGAGTGAGGAAAGATAATAGATTTATTCAATACCCAAAAGCTGTCTATTACAATCCAGGAATCTTAATTTATAGGTTCCAAATAACAATAAAATGTAAAGTTGCAATAAAAAGGAAAAACTAGGATTTCCTTTTGTTTAAAAGGAAACAAATTTATTACTCTACCAAAACAAGAAAATCAATAATGAAAATTCGATCTTTAATTGATTTGATTCCGATTACACCTAGAATATACTTTCCAATTTGTATCATTCCTCCCTGGTCGAAAAGAACTCGACTCCGGCAAGGTATAATCCAGATAGGCATCTAAAAGTGTAGCATCCAGTTGACGTAACTCTGCTCCATCAATCCAAGTAGCATCACTAGGCGGGCGACCTTTCCAACGCACTAGAAACCGACGAAAACCACCATTCGGCGAAGCAACAAACTGATCATCAAGTACCTCATCAATGACATCCTGCCGAGAAAATGTGGTAACAGGAGCTCAAGGAGGCGGCCGCGAAGACTATCCTGCAGAAATGTTAGGCGACAATACTGCAGGCTCAAAGGTTCCTCGATAAGGATATAAATCTGCTATATTGAAAACATGACTAATATTTAAGTGCGTTGGCAACTCAAGTAGATAAACATTAGTTCCAAGCCGTTTAATGATGGGAAAAGGCCCTAGTGATATTGCACAAAGTTTCTTTGCAGCATGTTTAGGGAAGCGTTCAAGTGCAAGGCGAACCATGACATAATCGCCCACGTTAAATTCTTTATGCCTACGGTGGGGATCAGCGAATAATTTATACTGATCATTGCTTAAAGAAATTTTACGTTTAATCTCATCATGCAAGTCACGAATACGATCAGCAAAAGCTTGAGCGAAGGCAACAGGACGAAAATCAGGAGGCAAAGGGATTAGATCAAGCGGCTGGCGAGGAGAGAAACCCTGAACCACCTTAAAGGGACTATGACCAATAGATCTATTAACAGAATTATTGCAAGCAAATTCAACGGTGGGCAACACAAGATCCCAATTCCCTTGTTTATCCCCAACCAAACAACGAAGTGGATTACCTAAACTACAGTTTACAAGTTCAGTTTGCCCATCGGTTTGGGGTGAAATGCAGAAGAGAACTTAAGCGTCGTCCCAAAGAGTTTCCACAGTGTCTTCCAAAAGTAACTAATAAACTTGACATCACGATCTGACACGATACTAACCGGTAGTCCATGGAGACGGACAACCTCTTTGAAGAACAACTTTGCAATGTAGGACACATCAGAAGACTTAGAACATGGGATGAAGTATGCCATCTTAGAAAACCTATCGACCACCACAAAGATGGAATCATGACCTCGAGCTGTTTTGGGTAACCTGAGAACGAAGTCCATACTAAGGTCACGCCAAGGAGTATGAGGAACCGGAAGAGGAGTATACATCCCAGTATTTTGACGATGTGCCTTACCCAATTGACATGTACGATACTGAGAGACAATGCGAGCAACGTCTCTCTTAAGGGACGGCCAATAAAATCGATCTTCGGTTAAGGCGATTGCTTTATCCCGACCGAAATGACCAGCAAGACCTCCTGCATGTAGTTCCCAAACTAGGAAGTCACGAAGTGAAGTACGGGGGATACATAACTTGGTATCTTTGAGAAGATAACAATCTTTAAGCAAGAAGGAAACATGGTCGCAAGAAGGATTGTCTAAAAGGTCCTGAAAGATGGTGCCAAAGTCGGGACAATTTGGATAGTCGTCCTTCAAGTGCTCAAATCCCACCACAGTTGTGCTCAACGACTGAAGCACTGTAGTGATACGACTAAGAGCATTAGCTTCTTTATTTTCGACACTAGCCCTATGATGAACAAAAGTGTACTCCTGAAGAAATTCAACCCACTTAACATGCCGCTCACTTAAATGATGCTGGGAGTTAAGGAAACGAAGGGCCTAGTGAGCAGAGTATAGAACAAACTCCTGAGACAATAAGTAATATTGCCAATGACGGAGAGACTGGACAATGGCATAGAACTCCTTGTCATAGGTAGAATACTTTTGCCTAGCTTGGTTTAGCTTTTCGCTGAAGAAAACGATGGGATGACCACCTTGACTTAAGACACCTCCGATACCTACACCGGAAGCATCACAAGCAACCTCAAAAACCTTGGAAAGATCCGGGTGGCGTAAAATAGGAGCTTCGATCAACTTTTGCTTGACAGCTAAGAAGGCTTTTTGGGCTGAAGGGATCTAGCGAAAATCACCTTCTTTCACACACTCAGTGATGGGAGCAGTGAGGGAGCTAAAACCTTTAATGAACCTCCTATAGAAAGAAGCAAGCCCATGAAAGCTACGGATCTCAGTTAACGTGGAAGGGATAGCCCAATCCCGAATAATAGAGATTTTAGTGGGTCAGCAGAAATACCATGTGTTGAAATAATGAACCCTAAGAAAAGAACTTGGGACTGGAGGAAGGAACACTTCTTTAGGTTAGCAAATAACTGAGCAGAGCGAAGAGTAAGGAAGACCTGACGAAGGTGATCTAAGTGAGCTTCTTGTGATCGGCTATAAATCAAAATATTATCAAAATAGATGACAAGAAACTTCCTAATAAAAGGGCGTAAGACATGAGTCATGACCCGCATGAACGTGCTAGGAGCATTAGACAACCCAAAAGGCATAACCAACCATTCATACAAGCCATCTTGGGTCTTAAATGCCGTTTTCCATTCATCTCCGGGTCGAATCCGAATTTGATAATAGCCACTTCGTAGATCAATCTTGCACAAAGATCCTGCCAACTCATCCAACAAATCCTCAAGGCGTGGAATAGGGAAGCGGTACTTAATGGTGATTTTGTTGATGGCGCTGCGCCACGAGCCGTCCTTCTTAGGGGTGAGTAAAACTGGAACTGCACTAGGGCTAAGGCTAGGGCGAATAAAGCCTTTATTGAGTAGAGTTTCGATTTGCCTATTGAGTTCAGCTCGCTCAGTAGGGTTCATTCTATAATGGGGTCGATTTGGCAATTGGGAACCAGGTACAAGATCGATGGCATGTTGAATATCCCGCATAGGAGGAAACTCATCAGGTAGGTCAACAGGCATAATATCATGAAATTCGTCGAGTAAAGGAGTCACTTCAGGTGGGATGTCTATGAGAGAATCAGGAGAGAGTTGGGAACATGCTTTAGCAACCAAGGCAAACATAAGCCCAGTGTCTTGACCTTCACATACAAAATCTTTAAGAGACAATAGTTGGAGACGACTGTCTGAACCCTTAGGTGTGGAGGTGGAAGTTGTCTTCTTTGGAGGGTCTGAGGGTTTGGCTTGTAGCAGGCGAATAGTTTTGCCATCGTGGAGAAATTCATATGTGTTGTCACGCCCGAAATGCTTAACATCATGATTATAAAGCCAAGGGCGACCCAAAAGGACGTGAGCAACGTCCATAGGTAAGACATCACAATAAATGTCTTCTGAAAAAAATGGGTCCATTTTAAGAGGTACGAGACAGCGGTGAGTGACGGGTAAAGAGGTTCGATCTACCCACGCCACCTTAAACGGTCGAGGATGTGGGTCGGTCTTGAAGCTGAATTTGGCCATCGTCAATAACTAACTTGCATGAACGAGAGTTGCATGGGATGAATGTATGAAAAATAGGAGTTCGCTTCCACGAGTTCGAATCAATAGGGGTGGAAATGATACATCTCATAACAAAGACAATAGTCGTATCCTCTTCATCGGAATGGTCAATAGGGTTGACGGTGAAACACTCATTCTGTGGGGCTAGAAGTAGGGGTTCCGGTGCAAGGGCGAGGGCACGATTGGGACATTGAGAGGCAATATGACCTCGAGCATGATAGCTATGGCATACAATTTGAGGGTTAGGACCCCGAGAGGTATCTGAAGAAGCAGGTTGACCCCTAGAAGGGTCGTGAGAAATGGGAGTGGGAGAAGATCCCACAGTCGAGTGGGCCTGGCTCAATGTAGGGCTACTAGTAGGAGCATCAGTTAGAGGAGGACGAGAGAGACGCAGGTTAGGTAAGGTGGGAGAGCTACGCCTCAAATATGAAGAACGGGAGTATCGCTCGTGTTCGAGTGCTTTGTGAAAAGCTTCCTGTAACAAATCGGGATTAAGTATAAGAACGCGATGTTTAAGATCTGGGCACAGGTCGTTAATGAACCTAGTAATTGGGACGTCCTCGGGTTCAGCAAGGTATGAACGGTACCCTAACTTGTCAAAGTGAGTCCTATAGTCTGACACAGTAGATGGGTTTTGCCTATGGTTAAGAAGACGTTCCAAGAGTTGAGATCGATGGTAAGACGGGACGTACTTCTCAGTGAGTTTTAGTTTCATTTCTCCCCATGTAGTAATAGGTTGGCCTAGGCGGTCGAGGGATTGTGTCACCGTCTGCCAATAGCGCTGAGTAGATTTAACAAGTTTCATCTTAGCGAAACGAATACATTGATAATCAGGCATTTGGTACCAATTGAAGTATTCTTCGATGCTATTGCGCTAATCAAGAAAGGCTTCGGGGTCTAGGCAACCATCAAATTTCGGGGCGACAAGTTTAACTTTATTAGTAACGTCATCAACAAGATCCCTATGTTGTTTATAACGTGTGTGTGGGGGTGGATGTGGGAGACCAGGACGAGGGGCATTATTGACAACTGGGTCGCTAAGTTCCGTATAAGGAGTTTACCCGAGTTTTGGGATGACTGCCCAATACATTCAGTAAGGTTTTGAATGAGAGTTTTAAGCTCAGCTAGATCAAATTTTACTGATAGTACGTCAAGGGAGAGATTAGTGACTTGCTGTGAGAGTGCATCACGAGAGTGGTTAAGATCCTTTAGATTCATTATGAGCTAAGCACGTGATTAGTGTAGAGATGTGTGACGAGATTCAGACAACTATGAATGTTGAGAAAACAATTCGAAAGTGTGCCACTTTTTTTTTTTTTTTTTTAATTTATAAAAAAGATATGTAATGCGTATCTGAAACTAAACTATGTGAACCAAAAAAAAAAAAAAATTTCGTTTATTTATTATTATTATTTTATTTATTTTTTATTCTTTTGGTTTGGTCTGGAACTAAAACTAAGTCAACTTAAGAAATCAAAAGCACTTGAGTAAAAGTACAGTATCATAAGCAGAATTAAACCTTACTTGCAGCAGCGTTCGAACTGACCGGACAAGGAGATGGCAGTGGAAGTGGAATAGCATGGGTACCGGAGATGTATGACTGGCGACGAGCGGAAAATGGGTTGGGCTGTGTGGAGCAGTAGGTGGGGCGGAGGTTGTTGATGTAGAGGCGCGATGAAATTGCAGCAGGTACAACGACTGAACATGGCAACGGTAGATAGTAGAGAGGGAAGTCAAAACAACGGTGGTAACTGATGGTGAAACGGCGATACAGTGAAGTCTCTGGATTCGAAGCGAAGTAGCGGCAGCAACGTGAAACTGATACAGCAGTGGCGGTGGAATGTGCTGACTGAGATGTCGATGGCAAAATTGGAAGAACCAACAGATGTAACAAGTGAATTGCAATCGGATAACCTGTAGAGGCGGCAAAGGCGCGACTAATGTGGATGTGGGCGGAGGCAGCGGTGGGGAATCGAAGCACCGATGACACTGGGTGAGGCGAGCTTGTTGACTGGAAGGAGACAGAGCAATAGCGATCCAAATTGACCCTTAGACCACCTCGCGGCGGTACTCCACAGCAGCAATGGGACGGTAAGTTTGTGGTTGTGAGATGGGGTTGATGTTGGAATGTTGGCGTCGGCGTGAGAGAGATAGGGAAGATGACTGTTGCGTGGTTATTGGGCTGGGTATGGACCGTAAATCTCGGGCAAGGTATGAATATGTGGGCTAGTAAGAATGGATTGTTTTGGGCTAATAGATTGGGTTGGTATGTGTGTGGGCTAGTAGGTATTAGGTGTGGGTTAGGTATATTTGTATATGGACGACGCAGCAAACAGGTACAACCTCATGAAATTTGCTCTTGTTATTCGATTGTCTCTCTCTCTCTCTTCCTCATTTTTATTTTATTTATTTATTTATTTATTTTTTTTTTGCACAAACTGAAGGTACTAAGGATTCAATGAATTATGGGGCAACCAGTGAACAGTTCTGGTTTTTTTTTCACCACCCCTTTTTTTTTTGAGAAACTCTAATTTGTGATTAAAATAAACAGACAATTAACTATGACTATTACTAGCTTGTACCCGTTTAATTGCTGCAGCGTGTTTTGGCGAGGGTTGATGGTTAGAGTGGATTACGTCACGTGATGGACCAATGTCGGGTCAAAAGAAACGCTCTAGCTCTGATACCAAATTGATGCCGATTGTGATGATGACCAATTGAGAGAAAGAAGAAAGTAGGAAGAAATGAGAGTGAGGGAAGATAATAGATTTATTCAATACCCAAAAGCTGTCTACATATTATGTTGGATTTTATGCGCAATATTAAAGAAATGAAAAACGAAAATCAATACAAGAATTTTACGTGGTTCGGCGGTGTGCCTACGTCCACGAGACCGAAGCGGAGATTTCTTTGTTCAGTTGTGAAAAATAGAGTTACAACATATTTTTATACTAATCCTAGCCTGGGCTCATATAAGACTTTAAGACCCGTATAGAAAATACCCCTGTACCGTACCGCGGGGGCATTGCCCTCGCACCCCCAACCCATTCAACGTCCTTAACAACCAAACAATGAATTAAATCCGCGCAAGGCTAATGCCGTCGCTCCGCTCCACGCCAGTATCAACCCATTTGATCCAGGATTTGTTTTCCACTCTATATGAGCCACATGCACAACATATTACAATCCAAAAACCTTAATTTATAGGTTCCAAATAATAATAAAATGTGTAAAGTTGCAATAAAAAGGAAAAACTAGGATTTCCTTTTGTTTAGAAGGAAACAAATTTATTACTCTACCAAAACAAGAAAAGCAATAATGAAATTTTGATCTTTAATTGATTTGATTCTGATTACGCCTAGAATATACTTTCCAATTTGCATCAGTAGGGTGGCAAGATATCTGCAGTAGTATCACAGATTTCTAAAAGATGGTCTTATTTGCTAGGGTATGTCCTCCACTGGTAATCCTCCCGAGTTAACGATATCAAGGGGTCTTTAGGAAGATGGAGTTGTAATTGGTTTTACCAGTTGCATATAATTTCATGATTTTTTTGCTTCTTGGATCAGAGTTTCATCCAATGCATCTACAGGCAGTTCAATGTTATAAATCTGGTTGAGGGGAATCTAAAAATAAAAGGATATCACTACTCCCACTTTTTTCTATTAAGTTTACCTTCTGTTGTAATATTTATAAAATGGATGATCACACAATTATCTTGTGATTTTCTTCAATATTCTTATCAGAACTTGTGCTTCCATTTTCACTCTTAATCACATTTTTTGCCACTACAAGACACCGAAACTCGAGTCACTGTTTTCTCGTACCTTCTTCAGTGTTCCTTTTTCACTCTTAGTTGCATTATTTGGTGATCTGCTATTTTAAATTTTAAAATCATTCAATTCATGCTTCACAGGGACTTTGGATGAAAAAAATATTTTTCTATTTTTTTATCTTAAAATTGGAAAACGAGAAATTTAGACAAGTGACCTCAATTTTTTCAAGTTTCCACCTCATGTTATTGATTAGAGAATTTCTGAAATTTTGTTGACCTTGGCATTTCAGCATTGATTGTCATTTTGTTCTTGATCTTGATAGGTCTAGTTGTCCCAGGGGACAATTTGAACTCTCCTTCAACATTTATGGTAGTTCATTTCTTGTTGTCCAGTTACTCTTGCATTACTTGTTGGGTACTGGATGCAAATTTGTATCCCTTTCTCAGGACATGTAACGTAGGCAACAATTTTAGATTTGTTTCTTTCCTGTTCCACAGAGAAGAAGCTCTTACAGTCCAAATTAAGGAAAGTTTCTGCAAGTGGGAAATCAGTGGATTTTAAAAAGAGTCCATCTAATACAAAAGATGTATCAACTTCCACTGAGGATCTGGGTATGCACTTCAAACATCTCTCTTAGGTTTATATATTTTTATGTGATATGAATTCATACAGCTTTTTGTAGCCAATCATTTGTTGGAGTCAAAATCATATCATACAAACAACTAACTATACATTTTTTTTTTCTATGATGAATTAAGTACCAGTTAATGAGAAAGAACACATTGAATTTATGTTCATAATTCTTGATTTTGCTCATTGCTAGTACAAGGGTTCTCCTTCAACAAAGGGTGTGTGGAGATATGAGTTGGTTGATTATTTTTTTGGTCTTCTTTCCCATCCCAATCCTTACAGTTTTAGACATTAATACAGAAAATTATGATGATTTGGTTGCTGACTACGTGGCATGGATTGTATGCAAATGTAGGCATATGGGATATATATACGAGTGTTCCTAAAATTCTATTCCATGCAGATACATTGGTTACTATACTCTGAAATTTTTTGGTTATGTTTCCTTCAGTATATAGAATATCTAATACATTTAAAGGTATAGAGATATATCAATAAACTCGACTAATGACTGTGTTTTATCCATTTGCATTCCAAAACATAAACTATTCTTATTTCTTTCTTAATCTTATTCAGACGGTTCTTTCTTTGTTCATTTTTTTTGCATGGAAAACCCTTGCCCTCTTAGTATCCTATACATTCCCATGGTTCTAATTTTTAGTTAATATCGTGGGGTCAGCTGACGAGAGAGACGCTGATACTACCTTAAAGGCCTTAAACTTGGACAATTTTTGCTCGGCTTCACTTGGAGATGATGCTTCCAGTTCTCAATTTCTGCATGAAAATGGATCATTTAACATCGAAGATCTATCTTCAAGTATTCCTTCTGACCAGTTGAGAATGATTCAGAACATCAACACGCTAATTGCTGAGGTAGCTTCTGTGCATTGGAATTACAGAACTGATTATTCCTACTTTGTCTAGTTATCTTTTTCTTGACGCATTAACATTTTTTAGTATTTTTTGAATTTTTTTTTTTTTTAAAGAACTAAAATTGATTTGGAAATCCCTAACTGCAGTTGGCGTTGGAGAAAGATCAGGTGACACAAGCTTTTTTGGCAGAGTCATCTCAAAGCTCTAAGCTTATGGTATTTTCACCGAGTGATCCTTTATTGTGAAATTTCTCTGAGTCTCTCTACTTTGTTGAGGGAGTCTTGATTTTTGGAAGAATCATCTTAAAGCTTTAAGCTTATAGTATTTTCATCTTGAATGGTCCTTTATGGCGAAACTTCCTCTTAGTCTCTCTACTCTTCTGAGAGAGAAGTTGATTTTTGCTATAAGTTACCGTTATAGGAAGCTAAATAATTGATTGACTCAATTGCATTGGTATTTTCATCTTGCATTTAGTTTCTTGTGTCATAATGTTTTTTTTAATCTTTGTACTGAACCCAATATTTTTGAGTAACCATGCGACTTTCACCTTGCTTGCAATATGGACTGCTCTCAATGATGTAGCTCCTGAGAAAAAAAAACTGTCTGAAATTTTTGGTGCATAGTTTTGAATATGTTGCATTCATGGACTGTTAGCTGTAAGCGTAAAAATCCTTTGTCGGAAATTTCATTTAGTGTTAATTTAGGGACTTATGAAGATGTATTTTCATCTTGCATTTAGTTTCTTGTGTCATAATGTTTTTTTTAATCTTTGTACTGAACCCAATATTTTTGAGTAACCATGTGACATGCTTGCAATATGGACTGCTCTCAATGATGTAGCTCCTGAGAAAAAAAAACTTTCTCTGAAATTTTTGGTGCATAGTTTTGAATGTGTTGCATTCATGGACTGTTAGCTGTAAGCGTAAAAATCCTTTGTTGGAAATTTCATTTAGTGTTAATTTAGTGACTTATGAAGAGGGAAAAAAGGGAAAGGAAGTAAGGACATGATACCTATTTAGCGGGAGTTTGTTGGGGCAAAGGTTTGGAAGAAGGAAAACGTAGTTATCTTCTGTGAATGGAAATTTTGCTTCTGTTTTCTTTCTTCTTTCTATTTACATACAGTCGATTTCAGAATTTTACATGCTTTGATGCGTATATCTAAAGAAATTTGGAGAAAATGTTTTACATTACCATCCGTTTGGGAAATTTATAAATCATTTATAATTGGTCAAACTTCGTTTTTCGACCGTACATTTCAATGGATTCACAAGTACTATTCACTTGTCCACCACCCATTTCACTATATGTAAATCAAGCCTTTCATAAATTCTTCCCAAACAGAGGCTTATGCCTTTACCGACATTATATCAGTATGCTTATGAAGCAATAAGCATTATCAACAGTAACCATGTGGTGCTTGTTTATGCCCACTTTTGTGTTTTGCAACTTTAATTTAGTTGAAGTATTTTCATTCCTATTGTGTTTATATATCTTGCATTCTCTGTATGAAGGAATTGAACAAGGAATTGACCCGAAAGCTTGAAGCTCAAACACAGAGATTAGAGCTATTGACAGCTCAAACTATGGCAAATGATAATATCCCAGCAAGACAGATAGATCCTCGCATTGTGCAGGACGAAACTCCATTTGCGGATGAAGGAGATGAGGTAATGAACCAGTTAGAATTTTGCCTTGGACCTCATTTGGCTAAGCTTAAAATTTTTACTTTTACAAGTATGCACATAGGTAAGTTTTAAAATAAATAATTCTTTTGGTCAATGTTGAAAATTAATGCATACTTATTTGTCCCCATACACCTTCCAGATTATTAGTTTTTAACATTATTTTCATTGTTTAAGTTCTTCCTGCCAATTAAATTAAATGATCTTCTCGATTTTGCCCCTTCATAATTATTCTTTTCTCCCTGAATAGGTGGTGGAGAGGGTATTGGGATGGATCATGAAGCTCTTTCCTGGAGGACCGTCAAGACGGAGAACCAGCAAGCTGCTTTGATTTTACAGTCGAGGGTGTCCTGAACAAAGCTTCTAAGAATATTTTCCCTTGTACTTCCTACCCTGTTTTCTGGTGGCAAAATGGAGGCTGCAGTCTGTATATTTGAGTGACCCTTATTGTTCCAGAAGGAAAAAAAGGTTGTCTTCACAGGAGGCCTTATCCCTCGAATACGATGTGATCGATAACTGTTGCAGATTTTGCAATAAAAATAGTCCTGCATCAAACATTTTGAAGCCTGTTAAATGTTGGGGACATTGGTTATCTAGGAGAGTTGAAAATTTGGAGAAACTAGAGATGCAATGTGTTTGTGATGGATTATAATAGTAATGGTGTGGAGATGGGGTGGGGTGGGGGTTAGGGTTTTTAGCTTTAAGTTACATTTTTTTTGTATGTGAAAAATATGGGTGTATTGACCCAAAGTATGAAAAGAGTAATATTTGCTTTGAAAGGTTTATTTGTTTCTGTAGTATGTGTAATTGTAATTTCTCTAAAGCTACATAAATTGTAGGATTTGTCTGCTATCTTAAGATTTATGATAATTATAGATACCTTCTTTCTACTTTCAAATTTTTTATAAACATCCTATGTGGTTAGTTATGGTATTCATAGATAATTAAATATTTATTCATCATTTCATCCCTCTATATTATTTTGGAATTGTTATTTTATTGTATTTAAATTATATTTTATTCTTTCTTGTTATCTATTAAGAATATTTTTCCATACTTGTGATTTGGATGAGAACTTTAGGTAAAAAGTACCATTATAGAACTCGTTATAAAATTTAATTTTCGAAGAATTGGCAATTTTTTTTAATAGTTTATATTTCTCTTTAGTTCATTCTTATAGTAAATATATTTGTATGATCCTCATTATTTTAAAATATATATTTTTCTCTTTTTTTAATAACATATTCTTCAATAATGTAATATTACGCGTAAATTCAAAAAAAAAAAAAAATTTATTTTTTAACCATACATTATTCATGAATCTAATAATCCAAAATGTATTCTCTAAAGAAAATGGAGCTCATACAGGTTCTAAATCAACGTTAATTTGTTCATTTTTCAATTGAGAAACCAAAGTTCACAAAAATATGTTATGATCTATGAAAAGAAGAAGAAGAAGAAGAAGAAGAAGAAGAAGAGATTTTTAGATTAAAACAGCTTAGGGAGAGGTGAAAAATGAGAAATTTATGTTAGGAATGGAGGTTTCTGAAATTTTTTAAAGGAGAGGGACTTGAGGTCTTTTACCTAAATTTTGATTTATTGTGCTTGTTTTGTAAAAATTTTTATTCGTAAAAAAGTTGGCCAAACTTCATTTTTAATCATATATTTTATTGAATTCATAATTTTTAACCACACCTTATAGAATCCATTAGCTTTTATCAACCTTTAGTTGCATTATACCCCCTCAATTAATGTTCAAAATTTATTACAAAATGTAAAACATATATTTCAAAATCACTAAAGGGCTCAAATAAAGCCTAAATATTATCTTTTATTTTAAAGATTTTTTTTATTTGAATTTCACTATTCACAGATTATGGATATATCTTGTCAACAAAGTGTAAAACATATCTTTCAATCTACAAATAAACTTGAAAAATTATATAAAGTTGTACCTCTCAATTTGTTTTCCCAAAATCTACCTAAAAGAAGCACCAAAACTTTGGATTTTCCTGCACATATAAACAGTCGATTTCAGAATTTTACATGCTTTGATGCGTATATCTAAAGAAATTTGGAGAAAATGTTTTACATTACCATCCGTTTGGCAAATTTATAAATCATTTATAATTGGTCAAACTTCGTTTTTCGACCGTACATTTCAATGGATCCACAAGTACTATTCACTTGTCCACCATCCATTTCTCTATTTGTAAATCAAGCCTTTCATAAATTCTTCCCAAACAGAGGCTTGTGCGTTTACCGACATTATATCAGTATGCTTATGAAGCAATAAGCATTATCAACAATAACCATGTGGTGCTTGTTTATGCCCACTTTTGTGTTTTGCAACTTTAATTTAGTTGAAGTATTTTCATTCTTATTGTGTTTATATATCTTGCATTCTCTGTATGAAGGAATTGAACAAGGAATTGACCCGAAAGCTTGAAGCTCAAACACAGAGATTAGAGCTATTGACAGCTCAAACTATGGCAAATGATAATATCCCAGCAAGACAGTTAGATCCTCGCATTGTGCGGGACGAAACTCCATTTGCGGATGAAGGAGATGAGGTAATGAACCAGTTAGAATTTTGCCTTGGACCTCATTTGGCTGAGCTTAAAATTTTTACTTTTACAAGTATGCACATATGTAAGTTTTAAAATAAATAATTCTTTTGGTCAATGTTGAAAAATAATGCGTACTTATTTGTCCCCATACACCTTCCAGATTATTAGTCTTTAACATTATTTTCATTGTTTAAGTTCTTCCTGCCAATTAAATTAAATGATCTTCTCGATTTTGCCCCTTCATAATTATTCTTTTCTCCCTGAATAGGTGGTGGAGAGGGTATTGGGATGGATCATGAAGCTTTTTCCTGGAGGACCGTCAAGACGGAGAACCAGCAAGCTGCTTTGATTTTACAGTCGAGGGTGTCCTGAACAAAGCTTCTAAGAATATTTTCCCTTGTACTTCCTACCCTGTATTCTGGTGGCAAAATGGAGGCTGCAGTCTGTATATTTGAGTGACCCTTATTGTTCCAGAAGGAAAAAAAGGTTGTCTTCACAGGAGGCCTTATTCCTCGAATACGAGGTGATTGATAACTGTTGCAGATATTGCAATAAAGATAGTCCTGCATCAAACATTTTGAAGCCTGTTAAATGTTGGGGACATTGGTTATCTAGGAGAGTGGAAAGTTTGAAGAAACTAGAGATGCAATGTGTTTGTGATGGATTACAATAGTAATGGTGTGGAGATGGGGTAGGGTGGGGGTTAGGGTTTTTAGCTTTAAGTTACATTTTTTTTTTTTTGTTTTTGTTTTTGTATGTGAAAAATATGGGTGTATTGACCCAAAGTATGAAAAGAGTAATATTTGCTTTGAAAGGTTTATTTGTTTCAGTAGTATATGTAATTGTAATATCTCTAAAGCTACATAAATTGTAGGATTTGTCTGCTATCTTAAGATTTTTGATAATTATAGATACCTTCCTTCTACTTTCAAAATTTTTATAAACATCCCATAAGGTTAGTTATGGTATTCACTAGATAAAAAATATTTATTTTATCATTTCATCCCTCTATATTATTTTGGAATTGTTATTTTATTGTATTTAAATTATACTTTATTCTTTCTTGTTATCTATTAAGAATATTTTTCCATACTTGTGATTTGGATGAGAACTTTAGGTAAAAAGTACCATCATAGAACTTGTTATAAAATTTAATTTTCGAAGAATTGGCAATTTTTTTTAATAGTTTATATTTCTCTTTAGTTCATTCTTATAGTAAATATATTTGTATGATCCTCATTATTTTAATATATATTTTTCTCTTTTTTTTTAATAACATATTCTTCAATAATGTAATATTACGTGTGAATTTAAAAAAAAATTCTTATTTTTTAACCATACATTATTTATTAATCTAATAATCCAAAATGTATTCTCTAAAGAAAATGGGGCTCAAACATGATCTAAATCAATGTTAACTTTTGATTTTTCTAATGAGAAACCAAAGTTCACAAAAATATGTTATGATCCATGAAAAGAAGAAGAAGAAGAGATTTTTAGATTAAAACAGCTTAGGGAGAGGTGAAAAATGAGAAATTTATGTTAGGAATGGAGGTTTCTAAAAAATTTTAAAGTAGAGGGACTTGAGGTCTTTTACCTAAATTTTGATTTAGAGCCTGTTTGTTTTTCATTTTCCTAGTGAGAATACGTTTTGAAATAGTTGATTGATGATGAATGTGTGGTTAAGAAATAAAGAAAAGTTTTAGTTTTGCGTGTAAATTTATTTTATTGAAAAATGTGTGATTGAAAAGAAGAGAGAGAAAAATGAATTTTGGGAAAAATGGGTATCAAACACGGGTTTATTTTGTAAAAAATTTTATTCGTCAAAAAGTTGGCCAAACTTCATTGTTAATCATATATTTTATTGAATTCATAAATTTTATTCTCCTTTTAACCACACTTTATAGAATCCATTAGCTTTTATCAACCTTTAGTTGCATTATACCCCCTCAAGTAATGTTCAAAATTTATTACAAAATGTAAAACATATCTTTCAAAATCACTAAATGGCTCAAATAAAGCCTAAATATTATCTTTAATTTTAAAGATTTTTTTTATTTGAATTTCACTATTCACAGATTATGGATATATCTTGTCAACAAAGTGTAAAACATATCTTTCAATCTACAAATAAACTTGAAGAATTATATAAAGTTGTACCTCTCAATTTGTTTTCCCAAAATCTACCTAAAAGAAGCACCAAAACTTTGGATTTTCCTGCACATATTGAGCTAGAGCGAATAGGATACCCAAAATTTATCAAGAATAAGGTTTAGTTTATTTATTTTAGTCGTGAAACGCGTAAACTTTGATAGAAAAAGACATAAGTACTAGTATAGCAACTTCCATGTGTCATAATGACTAATACAAGTGCAAAATTCAATCACCAACTTCCCAAGAAGCAAGTTGGTGAAGGTGAGATTTGTGTTTTACATTCATTAAGGTTGAAATTGACCCAAAATTTTCTTTTAAGATAGTTTTTTTGTTTGTGGTGGTGAAGCCACTCTACATGGGACCAGAAATAAAGGTTTTCTGTTTTCTGCATGGTTCAACTGACAGCATGGGAATTCATGTGGGCTGTCCCTTTTTCTACTTATTTTTCAATCTTTTTTTATTTTTCCTCCCTATTTTACTTTTAATATGTTCTGTTTCTGGATTTCAGGTTGTTTAAAATGGATGCTGAAATGGGAAATTCTTGGAAGATATTGGTATGTAAATAGTGATTATTTTGATTCTTTCCTTGTATTTCTTGATCAGACCTTAGGTATATATTATCTGGTACAAATGCTGTCCTAACTTGGAGCTATCTTTCAAGATTTTATGATAGGGTCATTATTATTGTATGACGATGCATAATTAACTTAGGAACATTGCAATATTTTCTAGCCATTTTTCTTAAATTATGCTAATTGTATAGTTTGAACTCAAATTAGTTGACAAAAAGAATTCATATAGTCGACTTCAATTTATTAGCAATAATTTAATAGTCAGCCGATCTTCATATATAATTTTAAGGTGGATAGTTCCTGAGTGGGAGATGCTATACTTGACTTCCATAATCAAAGCTGATCCTTGATCGAGTAGAATATATTATAATTATGTTTTACATAATTTAACAAAAAAGAAAGGTTAAAATCATGTCTATTGTACTATGCAGACTCTTTGCTATCATAAACCACTAGTTTCTCCGTAAAAGGACAAGTAAACAGTATTAATATGCCCCGCAAATATTTTACAATATTCAAAATTTACATCGTAATAAGCAACTATGAGTTAAAATAATATTTCAATTAACGACTCATAATAACAAAGAGCATATAAGATCATACTAGTTCTAAAGTGATAATATTTTTCAAATCCCTCTCAATTTGATTGGTTAAGTATTTATTTGTTAATTTTATTGACATGAAGTTAGGTGCATGCCCACTTTCAAATTTTTTATATCCTTCTTTTTCTTTTTTGACTAATAATAATTACCCATTTTTGTAAAGGTTCATTTAAAGAAAAGTAATTTATTGCGATGAGATGACTGAGCATAATGACAAAAAAGATTAACCATCTTAACTTTGTTAGAGAATAAGACTTAAGATTAGAGTCATGGGCGGATTCAGGCACGGACTGTGCTACAGTTTGTCCCTTCAGCACAAATGTCCATTAAAAAAATAAAATTAAGTAAATTTTTTTTTATGTGCAATATTATTATTTTTATACGTATTAGTTCGTGTTGAATTTTTTCTTGGATTCTCCACTGATTAGAGTTTGTATATATATGTGTGTGTGAGAGAGAGAGAGAGACCAAATATCTAAATTACTTCAGTAATCTTTTTTCATTGATCAATCATTTCTATATCTATCTAAATATCTAGTAAGACCAAATATTTAAAATCACCTCACAAGATATTAAAAGATTACGATTCATCTCTCCAATCAATACGCTTAAAAAAAGGTTGAGAAGGTCAATTTGAATGAAGGAATGAATGAAGACTCTTTATTTTGGTACCTAATAATGCTTTGCAAGTCTAATGACTTGAAAATGATAAATAAGAAATGTACCATTCCGAAGCTTTAATCTTTGTTTGTTGGGAGAGCTTAAACAAATTAGATTGAATTTCTTTGATTCTAACAGAATACCAAGTGACATATACCGTCTAACGATCGAAAAGTAGCACACATAAGCTATCACCGTACCACGAATAAAAGACCAAGTCCCATAGGCAGATCAATGCATATTAGCACAGCCATAAGTCTAAATTTTAGCTCATCTAACCAGTAACATCTAACCCTAGATCCACATTTGCCGAGGCTCAATAGCTACATACGCCTTTTACGTTATTTCTTTCTTTCTTTCACTCTTTGATCTCGAGATCTCTCGTGCACATTTTGTTACATTTGAGAATCCTTGTACCTAGGTCCTAGGTTGCCTCATAATAGGTACTGCAGACATCTATGTTGATTGATTAAACAACCGTACAAGTAGAGGATCGGGGGATAGCCTTTTAGGAGAGCAAGAAAGATTGGCTCGACCAAGGCGTGATCAAACCAACTATTGAAAAATTATGGTAATTACTTTTTCCCCTCCTTCAACTTTAGTAATTTTGTTGCTATAAATTTTTACCCAATCATTTTTAATTTATTTCTAGTCTTAATTTAAGTTGCTTTCATTGAAATCCAAAGCTATTAGGATAGGAAGCATGCCTACATGTCCAGGGAGATTGTATATGTAGCATTACAGTAAGATAGATGACATTAATTCATTAAAGCTAGGATGAAAAATATTTGTCCCAACCAATACTTCTCTGTCACCTGTCTTCCTGTCAATGTACAAAGAAATTAATCCTTAAGATACTTATTTAGCAATTTGCCAAGGACACTGGATAGTCTAACACCGTACGGATAGAATTGAAACTCGATCTTTTCTATTCTATTACGTACCTCTTGATTGGCATCACAGTTGAACTTAACTTACGTGTGATCGTGTCATCTACCTATGGTCGTGGTAGTGTTGCCTCTATTTTTATGATTGTCGAAGCAAAAAAAAAGGGAAGCAATTTTTCTGAAACCGACCCCGCTTCTAAATAGAAATTAGAAGGTGATTTTTGCATTTTTTGAGGTGTTCATTGCAATTGGTTTAAGGAGAACCAAGATACTTGTACAGTTGTACTGTACTAAATAGTTACAAGAATGTTGTATAGAAGAGCTAGCGTATCAAATATTGAAATAAATATTACACATTCGATATGTTCATTAAATTAGATTAAACAATATCCAGCCTTTGTTTGTTTCCTATTCTTTCTACATTGAAATGAAAAATATGATCGTTATCCATCACATCAAACCGTCAAATTTGAATTTCCATATTTTGTGTGGGGCCCATAACGACTATATTTTTCATTTTCATTTTTACAAAAATGGGAAATATACTTTTCATTGCACAATGTGCGCCTGATATTATCTACAAAACACGGTTTTAAAACTTCTTTTTTTATGTCAAAGTAGATGCTTCTCTATGTTATGTAGTCTAAAAATACATAAGAATTATAATTGGAATAATATGGTACAATACAATGTGACACATTCTATGCTACCACATTTGATCACTTCTTCATGGATTTATTGTGTTAAGATTTTAAATTTAGTTTTCAAGAGATTCTATAGATTCCCTGTTCCATAATCTATTTATAAATTAAATTCCATTTACACCAGAAATTAGAATTTTGAATCCATTCTTTTTTCCCCCTCGAGCACCCAAAACCAATATCAAAAAACCAAGTAAATAAGAAAGTTAAACTTGAACGGTATTTCACAAGAAGAACT